ATTTTCTACAACATTCTATCAACAAAAAACAGATTATGAAAGAGAGAACACTGTAAATTTCACACAGCTAAATAATGAGGCATATCGTTAATCTCATATATAGAAAACAAAAAATGTTGTGCAACTCTGTGGTGGCTGCTCTAGTACAGAGATAAATGTTGATAAAATCGGATTTTGATTTCTCTAACCAGCTGGAATCCTCATTTGAACAGCAGCATTTACTCTTTTGAAAAATTACCCCCATATGAGAATGCTAGTTTTAAAAATGATATTTGTTGTTTTTAGTGTCGTAATCTGAACTTCCCATTTAAGTATCATTTAATTAAGCACCTTTTTGAGTCTTGGGAATTCAACATGGCTATCCACACCGGTGAAAGGGGCAACATTGCAAATTTGCAACCATAAGTGGCAGTTTCATTGTGTAACTTCTTGCGGAGTAAAATGAAGTTGGCTTAAGTGTAATGCAAAATTGCAATCTAGCAAATGTCTTATCGGGTGGGGTCATGGCTCATGAGTGATGGCCACCATTCATTTAATTTTTAAATATTTTATTAAAAAATGTTTAGAAACTAATACTCATTTTGTCCCAAAATAAATATTTTAAAATTATATTAAAAAAATCTGCTCCGTATAAAACAATAGGTGACATGACTACATTATTTATCAAATGTGCAACGAGAATAGGCAAAGAAAGTACAAAAAGTTTGGTCCTGTCAATAGTGAATTGGGCTATTATTTTGGGACAGTGGGAGTACTAAATAACATGTCGACTTTCAAGTAGGGGTAAGGTTTGTGTACACACCCTAGCAGACCCTACTTTCGTGGGATTTTACTGGGTTGTTGTTCTTTAGAAAGTAATATTGAAATTGCATGGTGTGGAGATAAAATATGAGAGTATTGCAAATTAGTGATGTGGCAAATTAAAAGTGATATAGGTTTGCATGGGTGTGGCCGTGTGGGTACTAAATAGTCTTAAATGCCCAGTTTTAAGTCTGCTTTCCATGTCAGCCTTGTCAGGTGTGTTTGCGAGTGTTTTTTCAGCTTATACATTGTTTGAGCCGTTTGGACTCATTGTAGTGTTTGCTGATGTCCAAAAACCCTCAAATAAGCATTTTTGTAGATTTTTCAAGTTTATTTGACATGTTTGTCCTCAAGCGTTTGTCCCAATTCCATCACACCTATCCATTTATGTCGTTTACTCATAAATTGATCACTTAAATGTTTTGGGTTGCACACACTCAAAAGCAATTATGCATATAATAGTACTTAAATTTATCTCATGAAGCATTCTCCATCATTTATAGTCCGTTCTTCTTCAGATCTTGTTTCATATTTCCTTTTTTGTAATACATCTTGCAATTTGTGTGTATTTGTTGCAAATCTAGCGACTTAGTGTTTATTTGTTTGACTTTGTGTTTCCTGTTTGGGATGTTCTCATTTTATTTTAAGAAAGGAATTGTGTGGTTCATATTGTTTTCATCTCTTCATAAATAGGAATCTTACCTTTCTTTAACTCTATGCAAAGTCAATATTACTTCAATTGCATTTCTAAAGGCTCATCATGTGTTTCTTTATGCTTCTGCTTGCAGGCAAGAGGAATGAATTATCTCCACCATCTCAACCCACCTCTTATTCACCGTGATTTGAAATCTTCAAACCTTCTTGTTGACAAGAACTGGACCGTGAAGGTCTGATTTTGTTTTTATTTCATGATGAGCTGTAGCATACTTGCCTAACCAACCTCCTTAGCTTCATATCTTGTGCTTGGAGTAGAAATGTTCAAGTTTAAATTTTTTTAACAGGTGGGGGACTTTGGATTGTCAAGGCTCAAACTCGAAACATATCTGACAACAAAAACGGGTAAAGGAACGGTATTGACTGAAATTCGCTACCCTCTCTTTTGGAGTTCACTTAATGAAGTATCTTAACTTTTTGTGAGAACATGACTAATTATCTCAAAATGTTCCCTTTTGCAGCCTCAGTGGATGGCTCCAGAGGTTCTTCGCAATGAGCCTTCGGATGAGAAGTATGTCAATCCCCTTCGATCAGTTTTGATATTCCTTTTTTAATAAGAATACATATTTAAAGTTATGAGTTTTAGAGGTTGTCTTGTTTGCATTGATATAGGGCTGATGTGTACAGTTTTGGGGTAATATTGTGGGAACTTGCCACAGAAAAGATCCCCTGGGATAACCTCAACACGATGCAGGTACAATCAATCTATACGTCTTCCACACAATTCTGAGTTACTACAAATACATAGTAAAGAAACTAAAACATTTGGGGAAATTGATGAAGGTGATCGGGGCAGTAGGGTTCATGAATCAACGGCTAGATATTCCCAATGATGTGGACCCACAGTGGGCTTCTATAATTGAGAGCTGCTGGCATAGGTTGGTATCTATTTATGCCCTCTAAATTTAGCCTTATTAGCAGTGCAGCACAAACAAACCACTCTTGCAAATACGAATTTCAATATATTTTTTCCCAAACCAGCGAGGCACAATGTCGTCCTTCATTCCAAGAATTGATGGAGAAGTTTAAAGAACTACAAAAGCAGCATGCTATTCAATCTCAAGCAGCTCGCAGTACTCAAAAAGAGTTGTAGAAGAAATTGGGACGCGTTTGTTTGTTATGTTTAAAGTTTGAGCAACAAAATTGCAAGAGATGAACTGAATTGACCGGCTGTGTGGTAATCAATGTTTTCGGTCCCATCGGACGGAAGATGTGTGTTGTTTTGAAAGATAAAATTGCCCGTGATGTCGGAACAAAAAAAGAGAGAATTTTTTGAAGGCATAAACTGCGCCTACAGTCTTTGCCAAAGGATGGAAATTAGAGAGGAGGGAAGACGGGCGGTCATATTTTGGTCTATAATGGATTGAACGAGAGACATTGTTTTTGGTGGGGGTAAACTTGGTGAAGTCATATTTGCTTGTTTATAGTGTAAAACAACCATTAACAGTCTACTGTATGGTATCTGACTTGAATTTTGGTTATCTTTGTATATGTGTGTGTTAAGTGATTGCAATTGGTTTTCACATTCTTCGTCTGTTTTTTAGCGTTTCGAACAAAACACTAAGCTAAATGTGGTGTTTGGTTAATGGTGCTACTAAACGCAGCACTATCTTAGGGTGGAATAGACCTCATCAAAGTGTTGTTTGGGTATGTTTCAGGTCAAGTAGAAAAATTATATGCTAAGTTTTTTTTTTCAGTCCAGAGCTCCCCATTTGGAGCTCGGCATAGACCTCACCCGAGAGTTATTGTCTCTATTGAAAATTGAACTCGTGATCCTTTATTTGGAAGATTCACATTGAGTTCCCAGATTTACAACCAAAAGATTCCTTATTTCTTTTTTAGGAATGTCCCAAAAAGCATATTTTTTCCTCTTGAGAAATCTTTTGAGCGGTTTATAATTTTTCTCTCTACTATATAATTTTCAACTATACATTTTTACTTATTTTGAATTTTATTTAAGTCAAACTAAGAACATTTTTTGGGACAAAGGGCCTAAGTTTTAAAAGTATGAATATGTCATTTACTTTTATGTTTTCCCTCTCATTTGTAAAATTTTTGATGATATACTTATTTTCTTCCTAAACTTCGCACCATTTTTGTGTGAGAAGTTAATTTTGAAACAAAGTGTGTAAAAAGAAAAAAAAGATAGAATAATAAAATAATGTCTTAAATTATAACATATATTAAAAAGTATCATCATATAACAATAACAACAACAACAATAATAATAATAGTAATAATAATAGTAATAATAATAATAATAATAATAATAAACTACTGCAGTTATGGAGTATAAATTAGTGTAAGCTAGTAAAACTGAAATTGTTTTTTAGAAAATCATTAACGAAATGTGAGAAACATATACAGAAAACATATTTTCTTTTATACTCCATGTATTTGTAGTTTTCTTTTTTATAAAATACGTAGTATTACCCCGTCGTCTTTGACTATTTATCCAATTTTAATTTTTTACAATCAATCAATTTTACCTTTGACCTTAAATTAAATAGAAATTATATACTATATTAGTTAGATAAAATACGATTTTGAAAATATTGTATAAAATAAAAAAATTTCGAATCAAATACTGAGTCAAATTTGAATAAATGCTGAGTTACTATGAACTAAATGTATCGGCACACATTATGAACTACTCCGTATATTCATAGACTTTGCAAATACTCTCTTGAAGCATCTTCAATCCCCCATCGTATTTTTTGAGCTTATATCTTTTTAGCTTCTGAATAGTGTCTTTAACCACTTATTTTTACCTTCACTCTAATTATATCATCTACATATTTTACGGAGTAGCTTTTTAAAATACACTACGGAGTACTATGTTAAAATTACATTCAATTTTATTTCACATATTTCACATCTTCAATCCCCCATCAAATTAATTATAATTTCTTTATACATTTTCATCGATAATTTGATAAAATAAAATAACATTATCACCACTTGTTTTATAGAACTTTTAATGTAATTTTTTACAATGTAGTACAGTATATAATTTTATTTTTAAATTCTACACTAGTTTTTACTTATATTGGTTTAAAAATAATTTCAATCCAACATTATAAATCGAATACTTCCTTCGTCCCTCTGTATTTGTCCACTTTCATTTTTATACACCATCCAATGCACTTCTTTAATTCATTTATCTTGTAATTTCTATATTAAAAAATTATAAAAATTATATATTAATAATCTATATGTTAAGACAAATCAAACAAGATCACACATGACTATATTTAGGCTTACACATTGAGAGAATTTAATGAGTCAAAATGCTTAGATAAACAGTTGCAAAAGTCAAATGTGGACAAATACAGGGTGGCGGAGTGAGTATAAACCTTAATTTATAATTGACTTTCGTTCTAAAACAATCTTCTTATTCACTATTCACATGGTCAAATTTCAATCATTTTTTTTTATCTATCGTTGTTAGTTATATAATAAAATAATATAGTAATAACACTTCTCATTTTGTAGTGTGTAGTTTAAAAATATAATTTTTATTTTTCAATTTTGTATATTACCCCAAGTTTGGTCCTTTTTTTCTTTCCACAACCTGAAAGGCTAGTCTGAATCTTAGACGAAACATCCAATCTTCGCGATCTGAAAAAAATGGAGACGGAAGTTCCCTCCGACGAAGCATCCACCGTCGCCGGCCTTCTCCCACTTGCTTGCGCCTCTCAGCAGCAATACGTCTCCGAACTCCTCTCCTTCACTCTTGATCGCCTTCACAAGGTCCTCTTTAGTACAAGCATAGCGCTTGTATCTCTGTAATTAAACGCATTTGAACGACAACTGATTCCTTTCGAATTTCAGGAGCCGGAGCTGCTAAGAGTCGATGCGGAACGAATTCGGAGGCAGATGCAGGAGGTGGCGGTGGGAAATTACCGGGCGTTCATCTCCTCTGCGGATGCGCTGCTTGCTATTCGAGAGGACGTCTCTTCTATTGATAAACACCTTGAATCTATGGTAATTTTCTTCTTCCCTCTAGGTTAAGTATCATTACTTATCTCAATGTGGCAACTTTTTTTTAGTGAGACACATCCACAGAATGGATACATCTCACTTTGATCAGATGGATGCCTCACAGTAAAAATGAAAAAAAGAAGAATAAAAGAGTTATTCGACTAGAAGAAATCGATGTAACTTAATATGTTTTCTGTTCTTGGAACCATAACAATCGTAGTGTACTACATTTGCAAGAGTTTGCCCGTCCATTTTTTCTTTCTTGCCAGTTTTAAGACTTATAGCGCAGTATGTTGGCATTTATTAATTGACAGACAAGAAACATTGCACTGCTCTAGTGTGATCTTGTTTATATTACCTTACTAGTTCATCTTTTTAGTAAGTCAAGAGTACTTTCAGCTTATAACTTAGCTGGTGCATTTTATGTCCTTGTATCACATACTCCGTATCTGATATGTACGGAGAATGAGGTTTAATTGAAGGTATCCCCTTTTTTTGAGGGGATGTAACATGATCTTGAAACTTGTAGGATATATTGATAAAGTAGCTTAACTTTTTGTTTATTGTATTGTTTTTATGGAATATTCACACAGTAATATTATTAAATGTAAGAATAACCTTCCTTTTTTCTTCTTCAGATAGATGAAATTCCTAAGCTAACTTCTGGTTGCACTGAGTTCATCGAATCTGCAGAAGAAATATTAGAGAAGAGAAAGATGAACCAAACATTGCTTGCCAATCACAGTACTTTACTTGACTTGCTTGAAATTCCTCAGCTTATGGATACGTACGTCTTTGACAAAGTTGAAGGATAACTTACTGTCATGTTATACAATATAAGATATATGAATTGATGGTTGGTATCATCGTTTTTAATTGAATAAGGACATGAGTACTATCCCTGTTTTTTGGTGGTGGGGTATCATTAAAAGATTTTTATACAATATGCCTATAACTATTGGTTCATACTTAACACTTGTAGATGTCTTTTGTTTTTATTTTTTGTTTATGGTTTTGCAATTAATGACTGCATCCCTTCATGTCATAGGTGTGTTAGGAACGGAAATTATGAAGAAGCTCTTCATTTGGAGGCATTTGTTGCCAAGCTTTCAACAGTGCACCCAAAGTGAGTTTATACGTCCCTTGTCACCTATATACACTATAATTCTAATGTGTATAAAGATGTTGTAAGTATATACTAACTAATAACCTCTATATTTCATGCCTTTCTGTCAAAAGATTGTCTGTCATCCAAGCTCTTGCAGCAGAAGTTCGGGAGATCATCCAATGCCTTCTCTCTCAGTTGCTTCAAAAACTTAGATCAAACATTCAGGTATATTTACACATGCTTGGGATACAGTTCTAGCTGCTGTTATATTTGTTTTCTCATCATTCCCATTGTATAGTTGCCAGAATGCCTCCGTATCATTGGATACTTGCGGCGAATAGGAGTGTTCACTGAGTATGAAATGCGCCTACAGGTAGCTTTCAATGTCATTATAAACCTTATCCAGCATTGTTCCACTCTTCCATATCATGAATATAGTTAATGCAACTTTTCAAATTCATTATCCTACTCTTTTACCCAACAGTTTTTACGATGCCGTGAGGCATGGATTACCGGGATTCTTGATGACTTGGAACAAAGAAGTGCTTACGAATATCTCAAAGGGATGATTAATTGTCACAGAATGCATCTTTTTGACGTTGTTAGCCACTACCGTGCAATATTTTCTGATGATACATCAGGAAGGGAAGAGAACTATGATGGCGGGCTTCTATTCAACTGGGTCATGCATCAGATTTCTTCCCACCTCAGAACTCTTAAGGTTATGCTTCCCAAGATCAGTGAAGGCGGATTATTATCAAATATTTTGGACCAGTGCATGGTGAGAACCTCTTTATTTTTATAGTAATTTCCATGTCATTTTGGTGAATTCTAGATAACCGGCATTCGATCTTGTGCTGCGATGTACTCTTTCAAGGGCAGGATACCCCATATCCAGGTTATCCATCATAAGTCTCCCGAGCAAGAGTGCAACGATACTAGGTGTAAGTAGCCAAAATCTCTGAATGCAAGTGGATGAAAAGATAAAGATCATTGTAAAATTGAAATGTCACCAAATTCTGGGAGTTTGAACATTTTCTTGAAATGTTGGCTACCTTGTACAAGCATATGTTAAGGATATAGGACTATAGGAGTCTCTCGCTTTTCAAGACGACGATGAGTCTAAGGTGAAGGGAAGTGATTCATCGGTAGTGTGGTACCCTCTCCGAGTCTCTCACTCTTACTCATTGGGGTCCCTCGCTCAAAACCCCCTTTGGGAAAACACTGTGCCTTCCTCGAGGACGAGGTCATAGCAGACAAGAGAGGAGCTTCTAGCTGTTGCAACGGTTGACTATAGCTATCCTCAAATGCAACATTTGGCTGATAGAGAGCCACATTGATGGCCGATAAGTCTGCACCGCTGAGTTTGACCATTGGACTTTTGGGTCAATCCGACTTCCAACTCCTATAAATACCCCCACAGCCGCCTCATTCCCCACTTCCGCAATCTTATCATTATTTTGCCCAAATTCTTTCTCCAATTCCACGGCCAGTCGGCCACCGTTGTTCTTGAGTCTCGCGATGTGTTCTTTAGCGCCACCTTCAATCTTAAAACGTTTGCCAGGTCAGCTCGTCTTCTTTTTTTGTTTGTTCTTCACCTTCATCCATTAGGTTTAGACAATGTCTGATAATAGTGATAGTCAAAATCTGTCTGATGAACACATTCTTGTCACCTCTTTGTCATCTAATTCTTACCCTCTTCTGCTGCTCAGGATGAGGTGGCTTCCGCTCTCTTTGTAGAGTTAGACATTCTTCAGAGGAAAAATATCGGTGGTGAAACTAGCACCTCAGCTCTGCCTTTTGCCTCGAAGTTGGTATACCCCGTGGAATCACCCAAGTTGTTTAAAAAATGCAAGTCCCACTCCAAATCCACAAATAGACCCTTCTAACTCTAGCCTTCATCCGCGTTTCGAGTATGTTCTTAGTCCATCCATTCTACCACCGGCAATGAGGACAACGTTTTGAGTGTTCATTTAGCCTCTGTTCATTTTGGTAATTTGTAGGGGTGGGCATGATTTGTGATGCTACTGTAACCTATCACGGGCCGTGCTTATTAAAACTGTACGATATCGGTACTGAAGAACTTCAATACCATTTGGTAGCATTCCATTTTGAAACAGAATAGTATAATATCATACCATGCTAAAACCGTTTCAAAATTAAGCTAAGCAACCACAATTCAAGGATCATAAATGCAAAGAACAGAAGATAACAAGTCCACTATTTAAAAAAAACAATGACTTTTTGTCATTTAAACGGATTACAATATTGGACTATTAATGAGTATAAAATAATAAAAACAACAATCACTATATTAATAGTAAATTTAATAAGAATAAAAATATTAAAAGAATATTAAAAGATGAAAAACACAATACAGAGTACTTCGTATATGGATAAGATGAAGTACAAAAATAAATACGTAGTACCAGGGATACTCTGTAGTTAACCTCAAATGATTTGGTGGCTTTAAATTTTTGTATCCTGGTCCCATCCCGTTTGAAGTCAGTTCGGGTTTGGGTTCGGGATGAAAAAACAAATCTCATTTAAATACAGGATAAATGGTTTTGACCATTACGGTCTCCGGTATGGTACCCTCTGTTTTACCTTTAGGTGTTTCTTGTCTCATTATTCATGGAAGTTTTGGTATTGACTGAAGTAATTCCACTCGTGGGTATGCATTGTTTGCTAACAATATCTTTAATGCCATAGCACAGTTAAGGCATCCCAATGATTCCCACCTATGAGTATATAACTAGTCTTGCTAGCTCTAGAGCTATCTTAATTATTTGGAAGCTTTTACAAGCTCAAAATGTTGTTAAGCATGCAATTCTGGCATGGTCAGACCTTATTCTGCTTTACTTTTTCAGATCTTATCACTTGTATGATTGGGCTTTTACCCCCTTTGTTCACAGTATTGTGCTATGGGACTTGGTCCAGTTGGATTGGACTTTCGTGGCTTGCTCCCCCCTCTTTTTGAAGAGTAAATTCTTGTCCACATAATTTCATTTTTGACAATTCTTAAGTTGTCTATGAACAATTTTGTTCTCGTCCATGCCAAATTCTCAATGTGGTTACTTGAACAGGGCAGCCCTGAATCTGTTTAGCAAGAACATGAAAACAGCAGTTGAGAATTTTCAGGTATGCATGGCTAAACAATACCAACATAGCAGATAAGCTAGCTAATTGTTTGTACAGTTGGTAAAAATTACTCTGTGGTTGATAAACAAGTTAAGGAATACAAGATGACATAAAAGGATATGTTCAAAATTATTATAAAGTTTATGTGAGGTAAAAATGGAACGATGTACAAAAAGTGCATTAGCTTATTTTAAAAAGAAATTCCATGAAGCTTATTGAAAAAGCTCAAGCTTTCCATGTTGGCTTTACCAATCAAAATTTATTTGAAATGCTTTATTTTATAAAGCTAATAACTAGCTTGCGGTTTTCCAACAATAGCATTGGCCTTTTCTTTGGTTAAGTTCATTGTCTGGAACATACAAATGGCTTTAAGTTCCTTTCGGAAGCATGCATTGAGATAATGTTCCTCACATTGTTGCAGTTGGTCCTGGATTCTCATCGCTGGGTTCCATTGCCAGCAGTTGGGTTTCCTGCTAGCAGCCTCGGTGATGAAAAGCATGATGATGTCGCTCCTCCAAGTCTAATGGAGCATCTGCCTCTTGCTGTTTTTATTAATGGTATTATTTCCACGTGCTTTTGAACTGGACAAAGGCTCTATGCGCTTGGAAAATGAATAAAAAAGGGCATAAATATATGCATTTTATTGCAGGTGTATCTGCTGCAATGAATGATTTGCGCCCTTGTGCCCCTTTGAGCCTGAAGCACGTGTTTGCTCAAGAATTGGTCAAGGGATTGCAGGCAGTATCTGATTCTTTACAGAGATATAACATAACTCGCATGCTTCGAGAGAATGAGTCTGTGCTTTTTATCTCACTCTGTCGTGAATTTATTGAGGTGCATTTATCATATATCTTGATTTTTTTTATAATCTTAAAAATAGTGACTAGGACTGTGACTCACTTACCTCACATGTTTCCCAGGTCGCCTTTCCACATTGTGTCACATGCTTTGGTCGCTGTTACCCTGGTGGCGCCCCTTTAATAGCGGATGCCAAGAATTTATTTGAAGGAATTTACAAGCTATTGGCAACCTCCTCTCCCTCCCGAGAACTACCCAAACCGATTCCTCCCACTGTTGAGAACAAGAGCATATCCAACAAAGGGAACTTGTCTTTGCAAAACGGTAGCAGCAGCGAAGAGAGTGGCGGGGATATGAACTCTGAGGAACAAAACATTCCTACTGTCGCGGAGGAAGAAGCTGCCGATCCATAGTTTCAAAGTGAACATTCGGCACCTCAGAATGTAAGTCTATTGTATATGAACATGGCACCGATCAAGGTTCAACATGATTTCTCTTCTACCCTCTTATCCCATGTTCCTAAACCTTTAAATTTCTTGAGGATTTTAGCAGAGTGTGGCCCATCAGGTTGGCTAAGAGTTAAGACTACTCACTCATTCCAGGCGGGAGAGATTATAGTTTCCATGAATATATATATTTACTTGGTATCTGCACTAATTTATTTATTTATTGTCTGCAACTGCCAATGTCATCTGCTACATATAATGCCGATTATAATACACTTGTTCATGGTGTTTTGGTTTCATTTGTTTCAGCTCCGTGATATATAAACTGTTTCGGTAAAAAATATGAAATGTTCTCTCTAAGGTATAAAAAGGTTGTAAGTTAATGTTCTTATCATATTTGTTTTCAGTTGGAGTAATTCGGGTTGCATATGGAGGGTGTTTACTAAGGCCTTGTTTGGGAATAGTAATTTCAATTAGCACTAATGTTTGGATAACTTTTTAAGTGTACAAACAACTTCCAAAACGCTAAAGTTAAATGCTGTGATCAGATAACCTTTTCGAAATTCTAAAGCTAAATATTGATGTTGTAGCCAAAGGTGCCTTAAGGCTCTTAGAGCATCCACAACAATTGCTTTTTTGGGTTTTCTTATTCTCAAATTTCCCCCACATTATAAAACTAAAGATGTGTTCTCTTCGTTTGATCTTATTGATTCTTGGACAACGGTGCCACTACGGTGCATGCAATATGCGTCATGGTGCTCCATTTGCAAAATTGATGTTTTCTACCTCCTCTAATCTTCAGGTTAATTTCCTACTCCAATCCAATATGAACCCACTCCCCTATTCCCATTAATTGGACCCCTAACTTTGTATATTGAGTAACATACACACACAGACAACAAGTGTTTGTATCTATGTGATGCATAGACATTTATTGTTTGTGTATGTCTTTTGCACACTAGTGTATCAAAATAAGGTACAATTTTGGTTAACCACTAGTGATGGTGTAAATTACCGTGCAAATATTAAGTATAAGTAATCGGAAGGGCTGTAGTTGGAAACACCTGTAACCCGGTTTGTTATTAATGATAATAGGAACTATTGCAAAGCACAAGCCGTGTGGATTAACTAAAGCATGCCTCACAAATGAGGCTTTTAGGAGTATTTATAGTAATCCTATGCACGTCAAGCACGTCTAACACTGCCTAGCCGGTCAGTAATGCACTAATGACGAATTTGATTGAACACATTTTTAGTCTCAATTAATAATTAATGTAATTTTTAATTGTTTGTAGTCGTTCAAGTAATGTGGGTAATTTTTATTTATGTTGTTATTATTGAAATCTTTTTTATTAGTGTAATATTTTTTAAAATTTAATGTACTTTTTTTCTTGAATGTTTTTTATTTAATAAATTATTGCATTTTAAATTTAATTAATTAATAAGTTCTTATTAATTTCGTTTTACAACTTGTGTATTAAAAATGAAAAAATATAAGTTTGAATCGCGGGGTTTTAAATCTATTTCTAGTGAAATTATGAATTAAGTTAAAGAGAAGTTAAAACTGATTTGACAGAATAAAAGTTTAAAGCTCAAATTTGAAATCACAGGCTTCAAACGTATTTCACGTGACAAAAAGTGTGTGACATTGAAGGAGGTGATTAGGTGATATAAAATAAAAAAAATTTGTGTGTGGGAAAGCTGGTGGGGCAGGCAGGCTCAATGGATAGGGCGCGCACCCCTACAAGCAACACAACCTCTGCGTCAATGGTAGTAACTTGTCACAGTGAAATCCGGGGTATGATGACTCAGCTCCATTATTAGCAGCCTCTCCACTTCCTCTACCAAGTATTGAACATCCAGAACATGGATGGTAGCTCGGCGCCGGAAAAGCTGATAGTCGTGAACCGCGACCCGGACGGCGTCGCATGGGTCATAATAAACCGGCCCAAGTCCCTGAACTCCCTGACGAAGCCGATGATGGCGGATCTAGCTCAATCCATCAAGTCTCTGAGCGCGGACGACTCGGTTCGGGTCATCATCCTTTCCGGGTCGGGCCGTGCGTTTTGCTCGGGTGTCGACTTGACGGCCGCCGAGGACGTTTTCAAGGGCGACGTGAAGGACGTGGAGGCAGACCCGGTGGCCCAGATGGAGATCTGCGCCAAGCCGATCATCGGTGCAATCGATGGATTTGCCGTCACTGCTGGGTTCGAGATCGCCCTCGCTTGTGACATCTTGGTTGCTTCGAATGACGCTAAGTTCATGGATACTCATGCAAGGTCTCTCCTCTTTTTCTCCTTCTTCCTCATCTACTTAATTGTCACCATTTTCAGCTGCACTCAAGCTGTTTGGGTTTATTCCTTAGACAATTTTATCCAGATTCGTCTTCAATATAGTTGTTAACTCGATGCTAATAACATTACGATTGTAAGGTAATGATTTTAATGTGGTGTAAAAAAAATGAATTTGCTTTGGATTTCTCTTGAAATTTATGTCCTCATTGACATTGTTGAGGATTACTAGCATTACTGAATTTAGGATTTTTGTAGGGATCATTGAACTTGGCCATAATATACTTGGGTTGAATCACATTAAAAAATACTCTTTAACACTTCCCCATCCCCCTAAACCTTGAGTCGTTGGATGTGCACTTCTAGACAAACAATCGAGTTAAATGGACCACAGGCCGTTGGATAAGTATTCCATAAGGACGACTGGGGGGAAGACTAAGGCCGCTAGGAATAAACATCTAAGCAGACACGTCACACGTTGACAGACGAGGTGATCCAAAACTGGCTCTGATATCATTATAAAACTTAGGATTGACTAGGGATCATTAAATTGGGCCATAAGACCCTTGGGTTGAACCAAATTAAAAGATTGAATCCAATCAATTACTTAGTTCAACTCAAGAACTTATCTACGCATTATCTCCTTCTCACTTTTACGATATGGGATACTCTTTAACAAATATACAATATGGTTTTAACTTAATAGGTCAAAAGTCGACCTGGTTAGTTACAAAAAGTTAAAATCGGACAAATATTGTGGGACTGAGAGTATTTAAGTGTTCACTTGTGAGCTTAATAAACTATGATGCCATATTAGATTTTTGGAGTTTGACTGAGCGGGGAAGCAATGCGAAACCTTATACCCTATTGGTTGGTTTTTGTTTTTACTTTTGGTCATGTGAGATAGCTAAGTACTTACTGAGTGGAATAAAATTTTGATCCACACACAAATATTCTACAGGTTTGGAATATTTCCTTCATGGGGTCTATCTCAGAAGCTTTCGCGGGCAATAGGGGTGAACAAAGCTCGTGAAGTGTCACTAGCTGCAACACCATTAACAGCTGACCAAGCAGAGAGACTGGGTTTGGTCAACCATGTTGTTGAGAGGAGCGAACTCTTGAAAAAGGCCCGGCAGATTGCAGAGGCAATAATCAAGAACAACCGGGACATGGTGTTGAGGTACAAGGCGGTTATAAATGATGGCTTCAAACTTGATTTGGGACGTGCTCTTGCCCTTGAGAAGGTATACATGCCCTTAGGTTTCATGTTTACTTCATTTACAAGAACAACGGTGTGCTTGTATCTGACATGCAGTTCTATATATTCTTGTTTTTCTTCTTCTGGTTCAGGAGAGAGCTCACGAGTATTATGATGGGATGACTAAGGAGCAGTTCAAGAAGATGCAAGAATTCATAGCAGCCCGCAGCTCAAACAACCCTTCTTCCAAGCTGTAGAGTTCTGCTCTATTGTAAAACAAAGCTATGGTCTATACAATCAATCAATCTAATGTAGTGAGTGCTAAACAACAACTTATGTGTTGAAGTTCTACAAGTGTATAGAGAGAGAGAGAGAGAGAGACCTTATTCCTCCCTATAAAATGTATGTAGGCTGTAATACAATCTATGATGATCCATTAATTTTCATCTTTTCAAATAAAAAGATGTACCATTAATTAGTCTTATGGAAAATGTTACTTTTAATCCCAAAGATGACACCACTATAGACAATAACACACCACCAATAGTCATTGTGTGTGCAATAAAGATGGTTCTTCAATTTAAGAGTTGTGTTTATAGGAAAGAAAGGGTCCTACTTGATACTCACTTCCTCCTAAAACTATTTTTCGTTGATTATTCATTGTTTCAAACTTCATCCCCTTTGTTAGTCTATTTTTGTTAGTTATTTGATAAAAAAATACTCATGTCACCTATAATTTTATATACTTTTTGATGTGGTTTTTAAATTCTCAGTATAAGTTAAATTAATACTCCCTTCGTCCTACTGTCTTTGTCCACTTACCTTTTGGCACACCATTCAATGTACTTCTTTAATCCATTTTATCTTGTAATTTGTATATTAAAAAATTATAAAAATTATATATTAATAATCTATATGTTAAGACGAATCAAACAAGATCACACATGACTATTTTTAGGCTTACACATTGAGAAAATTTGATGAGTCAAAGTGCTTAGATGAACAGTTTCAAAAGTCAAAATTGGACAAAGACAATGGGACGGAGGTAGTATTTCCTACAAAGATAAATATTTTTATTTTTTTAAAAAATAAATATATATAAAACTGAATATTCTACGTGGATGAGTTGGGGTTTAAATTCAAAGTTTTGTGTTTATGTATACCACCAAGGCCTTAGGCCATGTTATCTTCACCTGATTTGAATGGTTCTGATCTGAATAGAATGATCAAGTGTGATTTGATCTGCATGTAGTTATATTTAAAACTATTTTTGATCTGATAACATCTGGTCTGATCTGATTCCAAAAGGGAATAGTAAGTTTAAACATATTCCTGTTCTTGAATATTAGTTGATGTGTCATTGAGCTTGTGCTCCTTCACCACTTGCACCGATGGTGTCGTTCTATCAAAGTCGCAGGTGGTCTACGATCGGCTGAAAGCTAGATTCAAGAATAAAAATTGGTATGACATGACTTTTAGCTCATGTCATACTAGTGTATTTTTAGATCAAACTTTTAGTTCATCGAAGATCATCAGTGGCTTGACAAACCTACAATATTTGTGCATTTGGTGAATGCGAGTAGATTCAGTGACGCCTTAATTTGGATATTCCACAAAGGGGATGTGTTTGACTATAATGTCCCCTTTTAGAACATTAAGCTGATGAACCTAGCCCTGATGGTGTATTCAATGAGGGATACATATATTATTAGGGATGATTTGGGTTTAAAGCCAACTTGAGTCTAATTTCAACCCTTAAGTAGACATTTTTTCTCAAAAAAATTAAGTAGACATTTTCTTTGAAATTAGTTCTTTAGTTTAAGGTTAAAGAAAGAAAAATATTTCACCTGTTCGCATTCTCATTCTTTTCATGCGGAGTAAGATGTTAAAGTTTTATAGATTCATTCTTATAACTAGGAATGAGAACGAGTCGATTTGGTCAGATTTTAGTATATTGAAACCTGACCCGACTTGAAAGAAGAGGGACATTTTAGTGATTTTACTGTTTTAACATATGAAAGATGAGGGACATTTTCGGTAATTCGATGGACTCAGTTTCAGGCAACCTTCTTCTTCTTCAGGGCTGAATTTTTTTCCCCGGCGATGCGAAGCTGAGGGCCCGACCTTCATTTTCGTCGCCGATTAAAAGCACAAAGAGGGAAAGAGAATAGAAAAAAGAATGCTCTTCTAGTCGTTAGTCAGTCATCCGATTTTGCTCAGTTGCCGGCGATTCTGAAAATGAGTCGAATTAGGGGCTCTCTATGGCTGGCAATTACGATACTGAGTCTGACCATAACTCAGTCATTTTCAGCGTCTCAGGTGAACCGGAGAGATCCAGGCCACCCCCAATGGCACCACGGAGCTTTTCATGACGTCAAAGATACTGTCCGATCCGAAGTTCGTCAAATGCTCCATTCTCGAGCTGAGGTATATGTTTATTAAACACCTATTTTGTACAATTCCCAAGCCTAATTCAGGCACTACGGTCACTGGAATTATGATTATGTTGATTATCTGTGTTAATGTTTAAAAATCAAAGTTATTCTCAACATTACATATCTTGTGGATTGCCAAACTTTTAGAGATCCCATGTTTCAAGGATTTTGCTTCCTTCCATTCGAGTGTACTTTGAGCTCTAAAAGAGTGTTTTTTTTGTTAAATTTTATAAATCCCTTCTCTTTAAAAGAGTGAAATAATGCCTTGCAAATTTATTCTTTGATCATTCAAACAACTTCTGTTTACGGGCATGTATGTGGTTGCAAACATCTCAAATGTTTATTCTGGCTGCCTAGCTTAGCTTGGTGTAGATACATGATTTTATAATTTTATGCAGGTCCCATTTCAAGTCCCTCTTGAAGTGAATGTAGTTCTAATTGGATTTAATGGAGATGGAGGCTATCGGTATACTGTAGATTCTCAAAAGTTGGAGGAATTTCTTAGAGTCAGTTTCCCATCTCACCGTCCCTCATGTTTAGAGACAGGACAGCCACTTGACATTGAGCATCACATTGTTTATAATGCATTTCCGGTACACTCCCCTGGTTCCTGTGTACTCGTATTTGTTTTGGCAATATGTTACTTTGCTGCTATTGCAAGTCTCATTATACCAAGACTTTTCAATCCCTTGCTACAGGTTGGCCAACCGGAATTAATATCTCTGGAGATTGCATTGAAGGCAGCCATGGTTCCTTCTGGTACAGCAAGAGAGGTAATGGCCCCTACTTGTTAAAATTTGACTAATTCTGATTATTCTAGTACAGTATTGTGAGTTTTTTGTCGATAAGTAAACCTTATTTTATGGCTAGCAGGCTGACTTTGGAAGGGATGTGCCTTTGTTTGAGGTTGATGCGACTGGTGTAGAGCCAGAATTTCAGAAGCTGTATACATACCTTTTTGATATTGACTCAGGAGTACATTATGGGGAAGAGATAGACAAAGCCTGGCCAACTGCAGTTTTTATTGTCAATTTTGATAAGGTTAGTTAATCAGACATCAACCATGGCCTTGAACTCTTGAAGTTCTTCATACATTGCAGTGCTGCTTATACTGGTGAAACTCTCTAATGCTAAGTGTTGGCCGCTTTCCCGCTTAAGAAGGTAACGAGCATAGTTTAGAACTTGTAGAGATGATGTTGCAGTGAGCCTGTGGTGTTTCACTTTGGACATGAAACCAAATGTCGTTAATGGGTAAGAGCTAGGTGTCACACCTATCTCGGGTATGATATGGGAGGGCAGATGAGAGGTCATATGCTAGGAAGGTGGAGAGCATTTTGCTTGAGTGGACGAATATGACAGACCACGACGGACATGGGATGAGTAGATGATACTGAATGATGTCTTTCAGTATGGCCTGGTGCCGTGGTTGAACCTCCAGGTGTGTTGCAGAAATGAAAGGACATATGTGAGGAGGCGGAGAACGTATGGTGTGAGGGACAAGTATGACAGATCATGAAAGACGTGGGATGTGGAGATTGGACACGGTGACTGTAAACCTCGAGGAGGACATGACTTGTTATAGGAGTTGTTGATGTCTTCGTATTAGGGTTGTAGAGTCTTTGTAGGAGTTGCGCAGGACAGATGTTTGAAGTCGTGTTCTCTTCGCGCTGTCATGTTTTTGGTNATATTAGTGTATCCGATGTTTACCTTGTTTTTTTTTCTTTCCCTCATTTTTACGAGATTATTGTGAACAGTCTTTCATGTCTCAACTTGAGTTGAGGTAAGGTGCCCCCTCCCCCCCCCCCAAAAAAAAAGACCAAAGACCTGACTCATTCATTGGTTTTGTTTGGTTTGATTATTTAGTAGCTGTTAATTGGTTTCCAGGTTAGGTTAGACCCTAGGAATAAAGATATCGATCTTGAAGGTTTGAAGTATGGAAGAATTTCACAACTTGCTGAGGAAGAGTTGAAAAAACAAGAAGCAGACTACATATATCGGTATCGCTATAATGGCGGTGGGGCTACTCAAGTCTGGCTTGGCTCTGGCAGGTAATTTTTAATGCAGTTTTGGCTTTTCTGCAAAGCGCATTCATCAAGGAGACATGGAGTGATCAGTAAATTACTGTCTTTTAAACTGATGCTTAGATGTTTTAGACAATATTGTTTGCATGCATGTATATCACAACTGGAGAGCCTTAGGTCCAAAAAGCATGTTTGTATATCTATGTGATAAGTAATCAAGTGTTTGGGCTGTAATTGACTGTTCTTCTGGTGATTCTTTCGTTCATATGATTGGCTGGTTATAATTAGTTCTCTGTATTTTCTCTGAAGTGTCTTTCATTGAAAAAAACAACACCAACAACAGACCCAAAATAATAACAAGTTCCTTTATTGATTTCACAATTAACTATGGCTTTCATTGGGTGCTTTTGTACTAAAGCTCTTTACACTATGTTTGGTTCAAATAATTTGAAAGGGAAAAGATAACAAAATGAGATGGAAACAATTTTTCTTGTTTGGTTAGAGAGGAAAAGAAAAGAAAAGTGGAAAGAAAAGATAATGAGAAGGCAAAATGTACTAAGAGGAGGGAAAACAAATTTTTCTCATTTTGGTGAGGTAAATGAGAGAATACCATTTTCTTTTCTTTTCCTTTTGAATTCTCTGAACCAAACATAGTGTTAATTTTCTATGTATGGCATATGCATATAGACTATAACTACAACAAATGCATATAGACTATGGATTGAATTTGTAATTCATTTAATTTATTGATACTATCTGCAAATGAGACTGAATGGCAGTGCATTTACAATTGGTTGAGCTTCTTGGCATTCTATTTCAGGTATGTTGTGATTGACCTCTCAGCAGGTCCCTGTACTTATGGAAAGATTGAAACTGAAGAAGGAAGCATCAGTGCCAGGTCACTCCCTAGGTTGCGAAATGTAGTTTTTCACAATGCTGCTGGTACTGTTAGTGAGCATTATGCTCACAACATTTTTGTTGGGCAGCTTGCATCTCTAATTGCTATGACAACTGAGCATGTCATTTCTCCAGATGTTAGGTATGTGTCCATTCTACCAAATTTTGTTTCCGTTTTGTATCAGATTAACTTTCTTATTCGAGTTGCACTAGTAATTGTTTTATATGATTGAATGACTTGAATATGATTTGAGTAGATGTGAGTTTGCATACTTTCTGAGATATATGACCTTTTTTGTTTTATACGGAGTACTTGTTTGGCTTCATTAACTTTGTGCAGTGTAGTTTGTATGCATCTAGTACTCATTATTTAATAAACTTTCTCATTTTATAATAATTGGGAAAACTTATTGATATTCTGTAGCAGTAGTAACTTCTATCACCATCACACCGTTTTTAGCTGTATTGTGTAGATCATAATTATTTCTAAGCTATAGTTTGCACTTTCTTTTCGCAAGCAGATTTGAAACAGTTGACATGACAACAAGATTGCTTGTTCCAATCATTGTTTTACATAATCATAATCGCTACAACATAATGGAGAAAGGCCACAATTACAGTATTGATGTTGGTGCGATTGAGAATGAGGTAATGTTGTTCTGCAGTGTTTGAATCATGTTTTAATAGAAATATAGTAGATCTGTTGCTGGATCAAAGGACGAGGGACAGAGGACCGGAGGAGTTAGGATCTGAACCCAAGCCAAATGTTTGGGAGGTGGTGTGCCAGTTAGCTTACATATAAGCTACATCCTGCCCCCATATTCTAGCTCACTTCAAAATAGTGCCTGGCCTAGATAGTTATTGTACTACGTAATTCTTTTTCTTTTTACAGCTAAAACAGTGGACTAAGATACAAATAAGAACCCCCAATCTAGCTTGGTGGGTCGTTGAGGAATTCATGATTTTTGGGATTTGCATGTTAGATTTAGCAGCACTGATGCAAATACTCCGTACCATACTAATGGTTTTCTTTTTGCAGGTTAAGAAACTTGTTCACCAAGGACAAGAAGTAGTGATTGTTGGTGGTTCACATGCCCTACATCACCATGAGAAGTTGGCTATTGCTGTATCTAAAGCAATGCGTGGCCATTCACTTCAAGAAACCAAGAAAGATGGACGTTTTCACGTTCACACAAAAATGTATCTGGATGGTGCAATCCTCAAAGAGGTTTGGCTATTAGATCTCTCTCTCGTTTGTATATCATTCCTTTCAGATTGGTTTAATGCAATTGCCTGTGGCCCATAGGCACATGGATAATGATTACTCGTGTGAGAATGTCTATATAGTTGTGTTGTCATGCTCTGCACCTTGGGTATCTTGACAGTCTTCTATTCAATTTCAAAAGGATGTTATTTTGTTCTAGCTTACTTTGCAAAATAAATGTTCTTATGCCTCTTTCGTTAATACATATTTGCAGGAGATGGAGCGATCAGCAGATGTGCTAGCTGCTGGTTTACTTGAGGTTGCTAATCCATCACTGGCAAATAAATTTTTCCTCCACCAGGTTGGTGTTAAGAAGTTGGATATCTGATTCCATACCATACTTTTGTTGCTTTTGTGCCCCCCCCCCAAAAAAAAAAAATCTAAACATTATTTGACCTTGCTAGAATTGGATGGACGAAAGTGACGGTACTGGTGATTCCATATTGAAACATAAACCTCTCTGGTCCACTTACAGCCAGAAAAGTGGAAAACAGAATAAGAAAAAGAAAGAATCGAAGTTGAAACGGGGGAATCTCTATAGGACCTATGGCACTAGAGTCATTCCAGTGTAAGCTCAGTTTGTTCATCATAAGCTTTTGTTTTACTTCAAAGCTACATTTTGTTCTTTATAAACAATAGTTGCATTTGATGCACGCAAAAATTTATTTCAGATGGTCTCATGATGAAATGGTTAAGTTATTTTTTTTCTTTCTTTTTGCAGTTTTGTTTTATCATTAGCTGATGTGGATGAACATCTTATGATGGAAGATGAAAGTCTTGTTTGGACCAGCAAGGATGTAGTTATTGTACTCCAGCATCCTAATGATAAAATCCCTTTGAGGTAATTAAGCTTGAAAAAACACTGGATACCATTGTTAGGGTCATGTTTCCACTTGTCCGAAAGTGAGTTTTGAAGCAGTTGCCTAGTTCCAACTGCAGCATTATTTGCCACCTGGAGTTTGTGATACCAACTGAGTTGACACTGTTTTTGGCCAGCTATGTTTCGGAACTGGAGAGAAGGCATGCTAATCCATGGCAAGTGGAACGACATATAATCGCAGGGGTGGCATCTGTTGTAGGTGGTTTGAGTGCCCCATATGAAAAGGCTTCTCATGTTCACGAGAGGCCTGTTGTAAATTGGCTCTGGGCGACTGGTTGCCATCCCTTTGGACCATTCTCTAACACTTCTCATATCAGTGAATTGCTTCAAGATGTTGCATTGGTATGCTCATTATATTATACAGAGCATTGGTATATTATAATCCTCTAACCATACACTCCGTTGTGTTTTATATTGTCTTTCATTTTTAAACGAATCACGACAATTCACTATCCAAAAGAAAATGGGAAGTTAATTAATGTGGCGAAAGGAGTATATGGTACTCTGTACTTATAAGTAAAAAAAGGACTTGTATGTGTATTAATTATTATATCCTTCAACATTCAGAGGAACACGATATATGCACGAGTTGATGCTGCCCTACGCCGATTACGGGAGACTTCAGAGGTTTTTTGCTCTTTTTCTAGAATCTTTCAACTAACTTCGCGTTGTATTGAACGTATTCATATTTCTTTATTATTACTGTAGCGTGGTTTTTTGTTTTTATCAGGTTGTCCAAAATTTTGCTTCAGAACATCTGAAAACTCCACTTGGTGAACCGGTGAAGGGTAAAAAGAACAAGTCAAGCACTGAGTTGTGGGTGGAAAAATTCTACAAGAAAACAACCAACTTACCTGAACCATTCCCCCACGAGTTGGTTGAACGGCTAGAAAAATACTTGGATGTAACTCTCTCTCTCTCTCTCTCTCACACACACACACACACCCTTCCACTACCCTTTTAAATTTAAATGCACACATCATTTTTATAATGTTATGCATGAAATTGGACAACAGAGCCTAGAGGAACAGCTTGTGGATTTATCTTCACTATTGTACGACCATCGATTACAAGAAGCAGACACAAACAGCAGTGAGATTTTCCAAAGTTCCATCTTCACGCAGCAGTAAGCAGTAGCTTTAATCGCGAGAATATAACTCTTGGTTTATGAATATTCTTTCCGTTTAAAACTAAACTAATTCGTCGTTTTTTCATGCAATATTTAAAAACAGGTACGTGGAGCATGTTTTGGCGAACGAAAAGGAGAAGATGAAATGTTGTAGCATAGAGTACAAGGTTCCTGTCCAGTCTTCTCAAAGTCTGATATATGCAGGAATTCTTTTGGCTGGCTTTTTTGTTTATTTTGTTGTTATTTTCTTCTCTTCCCCTGTAAGATAAACAACATAAAAAAAAAAGAAAGGCTAGAACCACTTAATTTTTATTCAGAGTTGAAAGAAACAGTTAGATGGGAACTTAAAGAAACAATATGATGCTTTGATCTGTCCAATGTCACTTGCTTTAAACCAGCATGTTTGTAGTCAGGTGCAAACCCTGCTTTGTATTGAATGCTTGCCAATTCAGGTTTGGGATCTTGAGTTAAGCTCCTATGATATTGGCTTCGTTTGATAACAATATTTGTGATTAGCGATAGTGTTTTGAATACGAGTATTTTTTTCCAATGATGCATACTAATATTGAAAATGTTATATTTTCAAAAGTTAAAGCTAAAAGTTGGGTTTGAACTAATTTCTTGGCTACGACGACCCCCGACACACGCATATACTGAGTGTGCTAGATAATGGTGTCTGTGCCATAAAGCAATGTCTTTGTGTGATGGTTCACATGATGACTTTTGCCATAGACACATGATGTTTGTGTCGTTGAAAATTGTGTCAGTGTGAAGTAAAGACACATGGTGTTTGTGTTACCGGAATATGATATGTGTGACCAGCTCTATCACATGATGTTTGTGAATCGTGACACACTATTTGTCTCGTGTCTATAAAATCTAACAACTTACTATACACATAACAATTTTGATGATTGTGATTGGGAGTTTGACAATGGTAATAAGAAAATGTTAGGTTGTTAGAAGCTGACAACGATGGTGGACGATCTAATCGTGGTTGTGGAATACTATGTTTGATGACTTTATTTGGAAATTGGTATACAAAAGAAGGAACTTATATATTACGGATTATAAAACTATATCAAAATTGTATAGAATAAATGATGATATATTTATTTTATTAAATGATGATTGAATACATATATGCAAACGAAAATTATCTGAAATTATACAAAGGATGAAAGGACCATAATTTTTAGAATGAATATATGAAGTTTATGAATGAAATTCAATATGCTATATACATTGAGAAATGCTAGTCACAAACAAAAATGTCAGAAAATACGAATTATATAAACTTATCATTTATGTATTTTAATTTATAGCTTTAAATTATTTAAAATTATTTTGTTCTTTTGTAATGTGTACAAGTAGTAATATGGTTTTATTCGTAACTTTTGTAATTGTGAGTTTTGACTTTAGTATTTCTCATATACTCTTGGTAGAGTGACGGCTTCGCAACAAGTACATATGGTGGTAGTAGAGTCAATACTCATTATGGTCCATGTAAATGTACTTCATCTTCATGAATCAATTTAGTTTGTGTAAGTCCGGTTGAAAAAAATTAGTCTCTTGGTTAGGAAATATGAATTAAGTGATTGTTACAAATGAAATTTATTCGCTAAAGTTTTGAATTATCATACTAATTAGCGTAAGACTAATGGCCCTGTTGATTAATTTTTGTGTCAATTGAATTTTAGTACTTAAAATTTACATAATTGACTAATTTGATTTAGGGAGTACATTTTTAGTTATAGAGAAATCAAAATTTTAAGGATAAAGTTGACTTGTCAATGAGGGACACTAAGGCCTTGTTTGAGAAGAGCGTTTTCAATTAGCGCTATAGTTTTGGATAAAATATTAACGGTGTAAATTAATTCAGAAAATATTCTTTTCAAAACAAAAATGTTAACAAGGCCTAAAACAACTGGGCGGTAGGATATGATGTCATGGCGGACGCAATTACGCACATCACCGTATGAAATGAATGTGCTGACTGACTCCTTTGACCCGCTACAAGTGGGCTCCCAAAACTGGGAGGGAGTTCGCCTATAAATAAGGCCCACCAAACACACCCTTCTTTCATTTTTCATCATCGTATCGTCAACCTGCCGATCTCTTTCCTCTCCCTTTCCATTGCCTTGCTGCACTGTGAAGAATCTCCCAATCTCAGGATGTGCCCGACGGGGACGACGACCGGCCTCTTTCGCCTCGGCGAAACCTCTAATAAGCCGTCCACCTTGCGCTCCGCATTCCAAGTGCTCGACGTCGACCACGACGGCAAGATCAGCCGCCACGACCTCCTCACCTTCTACGCCGACTTCTCCGTCGCCGGTCCGTCGTCGGAAGACGACCTGCTTGGAGCGATGATCTCCGTCGCGGATCTGAACAAGGACGGCTTCGTTGAGTACGATGAATTCGAGAAGGTGGTGGCCGGCCGTCCTCAGATGAAGAATGAGGTGATGGAGGAGGTTTTCAAAGCGATGGATAGAGATGGTGACGGCCAGGTTGGGCTCCAGGACCTTAAGACTTACCTCGATTTCGCCGGCCTTCCCGCTGACGATGAAGACCTCAAGGCCATGATCAAGTTGGGCGGTGGCGATGATAACCGCGGTGGCGGCGGTGTGACCTTCCAAGGTTTTTGCAACATTTTGGCTCTCAGTGGCTGTTGATGATGGCGACAATTAAATAAGCTATTAAATTTTGTTCATGTTGTTTTACTACTTTTCTCTTTGTTTTTTCTTGTTTTTATTGATATTAACCATTTACGGGTAAAATAATAATAGAATCATGTCACATTTTGTTTTATGAAGTGAGAAATTAATTTAATCAACAGCCATAATCCAAATTGAGATTTTGAATTTTGGGAGTAGTTTTTATGAACTTATTCGAGCAAAGCTTGAATAACAGACTAGTGACAAACTAGAAATTACAGAAATCTTTGGTGAAAAAAAAAATCATACAAATACAAATTGGGTTCTTGAAACTGGCATCTGCTGATTCCTTTCTTTCACCTACCAATAAAGTTACATTGTACATCCAAGATGAGCGTGAGGTCTCTCTCTCTCTCTCTCTCTCTCTGTGTGTATTCATATCCTCTGGGATGGATGGTGCTCTCATACAATATCAATCTGTCCGTTTTCAACGAGTGGCTTGATCGAATTGTAAGGCAAGGCGTACAGATCGTCCGCTTCAATGCGGATAATATCTTCCCCTCTGATATTTCCACGTTATGTGGAGGGAAATGCCAATCTGTCAGGTGGAACTGAATGAAAGAAGAAGACAGTAAATGAGAAGTTAGTTTTATTTACCTGTCATCCAGCTGAAAAGCTCCCAAATCCCTCTTACTCCTGCAGATGACGTGAAGGTTCGGACGTGGTTCTGGGACTAAACGACATCCGCGAAAAAAGAAATGCAGAGTGATTAATAACATCAAAAAGTTGCTATCATTAATTAATTTGACAGGAAAGGTCTAATTTAAGCCACATTTCGGAAACGAGAGAGTGAATTATGCATTTCTGGTTCAATTGAGCATACTTGGATTGTGCCAGCTTAGAGAAGAATGGCATAAAAAGTGCATACTTAGCAGAAAAAGAAAAAACATACCCATGTCATCTTTCTCACTGCAAGAAGATTGCTTCAAGTGAGAGTTGAAACCAGGAGGGAACTTTGAGAGCACTGATTGTTCTAAATGTTGCTGTATATCTTCTGCAGACCTGTAAGCATTGTCAAGTTGCTAACAATTACGAGTTCAATTTTTTTCTTTTATAATACAGTTCCCTAACATAGGTACCGATCGACCAGAGCATAACAAATTACCTCTGAGCAAATCTTTGTTCTTGTTTTGATAAACGGTTCCATAATTCATCAGATCTTTGGATGTGAAGCACGTACTTCTCAATCTGCAATTGAAATTCTATGTGTTGTGTGAGTAGAGCAAGGAAACACGACAAGTCAGAAAACTAGAACCAAGATATGTCATGCAAAGAGGCAAGTCAGGTTTATGACAGTAAGATAAATGCTCCATCATTAGTGTGTATGGCAAGCTCTATCTAACTACACAAACTGATCTCGATTGAAAATATCAGTTTCTAAAGAAATTGCACAGAAAAATAGTTTAATTTATTAGTGCTACCTTTTGGAGACGAGTTCTCAAATATGATCTCAATAGAAACATGGTTCTGTCCAGGTCCATCTGGTAAAGAGACACAGTGAGTGGATCAACACCATTTTTAGTGTAATCCTCCACAGTTTCCTCCTATATGATAAAAATAAAGAGACATCGTCAAACTGAGACACGCTGAAATCCTTTGGTGCTTACAAGTTACAAGCATCAATTCAAAAGCTCATCACTGAGAAACATTTGTTTTGCTGTTTGGCATACCCCTAGGATTTCCTGTGAGCTTTTACGATAGATAGTGGAAGCAGCAACAAAAATCACCAATACAATTGGAAGTTATCCGCTATTAGTTGAGCTATTAAATTCATTTTGTGTACCCTTTAGAAAAACAATCTGTTGTTGGATCTTTGATGATATCAAGTAAAAAAAATTATCTGGAAACTTTCCACAAAGTCCTACTAATGCGGAACTCAAGCCATTATCATATCACCAAAAAACATGAACTCCATGAATTGCATTTCATCCATTTGACTTTAATATGAGAGCACACCATGCCTAATATAGGGTTTGTCCACATATTAAGGTGCCACAAATGGCCCATTTGATCATTCAAAAGAAAAAAGATATCATTTGGTATTATTAATAACTAAAAACAAAACAAGAACAGATGTTCAACCTTAACAGTTGAGAATGAAGAAATGTGTTCTTTTCAAAACATGCGTGTCACTCCAATTTACAAAGTAGCCGCCAGTAACCAAGGTTGCAAATTTAGACAAATTGACATTTCAGAAAATTTACTTAGTAACGTAAAATTCAAGTCATTTATCAAACCACCAGTGCAAGGTGAATGTCATAGATGGATGGATTTTCATTCATGTATTTCTAATGTGATTATGTGAAAGCACACCATAACCTAATCTAGGTTTACATCTACTTAATAAGAAGTTGCCAATGGCCTCTCAATGAGTCAATATTTAAACTATCCACATCGTACAAAACCAACAATCATGCCTTAATCCAAATCAATGGGTTTGGCCACGTGAGCTAGTAGATGATATATTAGAAAGATAAATATATAAATACTATTCAACATTAACTATTGATGAAGAACTAAGAAGATATGTGATCTTTCAAAAAAATGTTGAGTAATTTCTATTTATAAAATAGCCTTCAAAGTTGAAAATTTAGAGACAAAGTCACATTTTTATCCCACTTTCAGACAAGACGAGTGGCAGCATTGACTCAGGCAGCTAAATCCAGAGTAATCAATTGTGGTGCCCCAAGCATGCCTTCCACATTCTTGTGCCGCTGTTGTCCGTTTCAACAAGGTTAATGAGAAGAAAAAAAATAAGGGTATTTTCATTTCTTTCCAAATCTCGCCTCTATTTATCACAAGTTCCTTTCTATTTCAACAGGGGTTATATTATAAATAACACTCAAACAAGTGGGCCAACAAATTTATATATGAATATGATCCCATTACTCCTGTTAGTAGAATGATGAATTTTATAGATTATTAAAATTCTTATATACATCTTTGGATGGAGGATGTATATGTTCAATCAGTTAAGTGCCTCTAATCGATACTGTCATTAAAGGACTGGAACAAGTATACTATCCTGATTGTCATTACAGCAGAAAAAATAGTGGCATAAGAATTACTCAAGTAAAAGTGCACTAAGCCTATTATCTTATAAAATATAGGATATATCTCCAGCTAAAAACAGTAAAATGCACTGCATTATTGAAGTTTCTCAAAATGCTTCAAGAAGATTCACTATTATGCATCCCTTGAGCATCTAAAATTTATCTGTGCATCGAGAACTTTGTTTCTCAATGTATTATCAGGCTAAATTTCCGAAATAAAATGATTGCAAGAGCTATTGTTTGATGTAATGGTCTTAGAAAAACAACTCTTTTTTGAAGAAGATTTTTTATTAACAATGTTCATCACCCCTTCGGCCCTTACCCTCCCTTGAAGAAGTAACACAATACAAGAGGTTAAGTACAAGTGGCAGATATAGGTATATAGTTGAGGTTGGCATATGAACACACAGAAGTATAATGTAATAAGTGATAACAGACTGAAGACTTGTGGATGATGCATTGGATGCTTGTGTTGTTGGCAGCTGGGCTGTTACTCTGGTCGCTAGAGACCTTGCAAACTTTCTGCTCAGCGAACATATCTATAAGTCCCCTGAATGGATAAACATAACTACTCCCAACCGGTCCTTATGGTAAGGATTAAATGGTTCTTTTTACAAAGCAGTGCCTTTTTCTGTCAAAACATCTAAAGTTTTTTATATTGTCTTCCCTGGCTAGATACTGTGTCTATGATTATTTTTAAAAGAAAAGATATCACTTATATGGCATAACAAATGGCCTTAAACTAGAATATCATGAGTCATGACATCTTTTACCAACCCCCCCCCCCCCCGGGGGGGACCAATACCACCATTGCTTTGCGTAATTTAGCTGACAAAGTCTAATAATATGGACTAACAACATACTTATTCTTTACTGCATTTTCATATACTGCTAAGAGATATTAATGTTGTTGGCAAGCTATAATTTTTCTCAATTACTCTAAATAGCTATCCATCTTCATCTTCGTAGGGTACTAGGGTTGCCATGGTAATTGGTATACATTGGTTGTATAAAGCATCTGTTTCACACAAATAAAATTGCAGTCCTGCACACTAGTACTTCAATTAATGCTATGAAATTATCAATCAAAGCCTCCACACTTCAACTGGGTAACCATATATGCTTAGAAATATGTCCAAATAACTAGCATAAAGGATCGAACATGGAATCAGAATCAAATTAGTGCTAAATACAACTCCGCATAAAACTTCAGAGAAAACGAAATCAAATGGAAATCGGGGGAAAATCACAAAGAGAAGAAGAAGTGGTGTACCATCAATTGGATCTGTTCGCGAGATCTTTGGACAAGAGCAGCCTCATACCGGAGGATTTCTGGAGCACCCTTTTCGTTCCGCCATACTCGCTTCAACAGCTCCGCGTCCGTCGTTGAAATCAGGGTTTCAAAGTCGTCCATCATCGACGTCCCTGACCCGCCGTCGCCCGAACCCGAATACATTATCACCTCCTTCCTGCGCACACTGATTCAGTCGTCTTCAGCTCTCGAGATTCAGTTGGAAACATTGGGCCGGGGCCAAATGATTTTGGGCACAAAAACACTATATTCGGCAGTGAAAGAAGTCATTCATTTCCAAATTTAAAAAATCACAATATTCATTAGTTTTAATAAATCTCTTGGAGGTCATATTTTGATTATATTTTTATCCTTGCACAATAATTTTTTTACTATTGTAGATGGCCATGCTTGTTCTATTTGGACGTATCTTAGACCTTGTTTGAAAATAATGTTTTCAATTACTGATAATATTTTAATGATGTAGATTATTTTAAAAATGTTAACCTTAATAAATGCCAAACGAGACCTTAATAAATATAATTGTGAGGTTACTAGTGTTATATTTTTTGTTTGAAAAAAATTCAATTCAATAAAATCATTAAAATCGTTTGCTCAAATAGTAACATTGGGTTTCTAAATCACATGTTCATCCCATTATCTTTGAGAAATTAAAAAAATTGCTTGGAATTTGTTTATGGGAGAGGAAATTTTTTATGTATTGTTCTTTACCAAAACAGAAAATAAATTAAGTACATAGTATTTTTTAACATATATATAAAAAGGTTTTAAAAAAATTATGGAAAAAAAAACAAATAGTTTCGTCACAATTTAAATTTTCTGTTTAGTATTTATAGAATCAAACTTAATTCAACTCTTGTTACGTAGAATTCTTAATATAGTTTTTAAATATGTAATTTTTATTTTTTTATTTCATCATATTTCTCAAATAAATTAAATTACATAAATAACCATAACAACCTAAAAGGAAATACATAATTTAATTTGAAACAAAAAAAAGTAGAAAAAATGATTAAAAGTAGAGCAATTGGATTGGACGTCTACGCGTTGGGCGGATTGAACCCATCACAAGCTCTTCGGTTTTCAATCTCATTACGGACATTACCACACAATTTAGTGTGCTATATTGGGTGTAAAGCCAGTTTATTTTCGACTCCTAAATCTTTATATTATAAATTTGAGAGTTGAATTCTTAAAATTGAGAAGTCGCGGGTTCAATCTCATTACCACACAATTTTTAGTGTGCTATATTGGGTTTCAAGCCCAGTTTATTTTCGACTCCAAAATTTTCAAAAGATTTGCCAGTTTCCCTCCAACGGAATTCAAACCTTCCGCCAACACGAAGCTGTGTGTGAGAGAGAGAGAGATGAGGGATAGCAACCATCTGCAAACTCCACAGAAGGACCCCTCTGGTTCCGCCAATCGCAGATCGAAATCCGTTCCCGATCAATCCAAAAAGCATCCTAAAGTGCGTTCGTTTCCTGGATCTGATCGGCATATTTCCAAGCACATTCATGTACGCATCGTGCTTGTGTTCGTAAATTCGTCACTGATCTTCTACCTGTTTTGCAGAATGCGAAGAAGAGCTTGAAATCCGAGTTCGACACGCTAGTGGAAGGTGCTGCCTTGACTGAATCGCCAAAGGAATCTGCTGATTTCTCTCTTATTTCCGAAGTTGTTGATGACTTTCAATTTAGTGAATCCACTGAGGTAATTTCAAAATTCGATTCTCAATTTCATGTTCGGATTCGTACATACTTCGCTTTATAGGGGCGTCTAGTAGTATTTTAGTATATATTGATTAAATCTGCTGGTAAATACGATCCTGCTGCTGTTTCTGCAGGTTTGTTATAGCTTATGCATATTTCCATTTCAATTTTGCTGCTTTGCTTTCTTCTCCCTAGTTTGAAGGCAGTTTGTGATTCTGTAGTGGTGTTTTATGATCCTTTTTAGTAACTGAACTAAGCTAATGCATATCTCAGTTGTTAGATCTCTGATAGCAAATCACAATATATATTTAGCAGCATTCTAGATATCCATCAGTTTTGCTTTACACTAGCTCTGTACATGATAGAATTTAGGATGGGTATGGACAATTGGATTGGGCAATAAGACACTTGGGTTGAACCACATTAAAAGATTGAATCCAATCGATTAGTTAGTCCAACTCAAGAGCTTATATACCGGTTATTTTACTCTTGAACTTCCGATGTGGGATGCACTCTAACACTCCCCTTCAAGTGGACAACCGGGCCATTTTGAATCTAACCGGTTGACCACTTGCAAATGAACTCTCATTCCCTTGACTTTTTTTTTTTGAGCGCCAACACCTAAAGGACCACGAGCCGCTGGGTATGGACTTCCAGACGAGCAATCGTGTTAAACAGGCCACAGGCCGTTGGGTACAACATCCATACGGACAACTGGGCTAAAGACTAACGGGCCGCTAGGAATGAACGTCTAGACGGACACCTTGACAAACGAGGTGGGCTAAAACTGGCTCNGGACAACCGGGCCATTTTGAATCTAACCGGTTGACCACTTGCAAATGAACTCTCATTCCCTTGACTTTTTTTTTTTGAGCGCCAACACCTAAAGGACCACGAGCCGCTGGGTATGGACTTCCAGACGAGCAATCGTGTTAAACAGGCCACAGGCCGTTGGGTACAACATCCATACGGACAACTGGGCTAAAGACTAACGGGCCGCTAGGAATGAACGTCTAGACGGACACCTTGACAAACAAGGTGGGCTAAAAGATTGAATCCAATCGATTAGTTAGTCCAACTCAAGAGCTTATATACCGGTTATTTTACTCTTGAACTTCCGATGTGGGATGCACTCTAACAGTACACTCTTGAACTTTGATTGTTTAAAGAAATAATCCGATGTTAACGATTGATGCTGTTCCAGACCTTTGTTTTCCCACTGCATTCAGAAGCTTCCACTCCATCAGAGAGTAGCTTTCTCCATGACCTCACTTCAGTGTCATCTGGGATTTCTTCTGATATATACACAGCTAGCACTGCTTCTTCAACCTATTTGTGCCAGAGTGCTGAAGAAAAGACTTCCATGGAGGCAGAAATAGCAACCAAGCATCTAAGACAGGCACAATTTCAGTTCATGAAATCTGTTGGCATTGATCTGCAGTCCAAGAGACTTGTGGATGCTTTGGTGGAGGTTGTAGTGCAAGAGGTCTGTGGTTCGACCCGAGAGAAGAATTGGTCTAACTCCCTTATTTTGAAGAAGATGTTCCTATTGGTGTCACTGATTTTCCCACTGGTCATCCTTGCTGTTCTCTTCACTTCACTTTACACTTCCAGTGCAACACAGCCCTTCCTTGGTCCTTTGCCAACCTGAATGGTCCACACATTACATGATTACGGATTACCAGAGAAATGTAAGTAATGAGTACTATCTTTTCCCCCTTGCATGGAGTATTCAAGTGCTTCTGAATGGTGCTTGACTTTGAAATAATCTGCAAAAAATGGTCACTGATATTTTCTTTTTTCCATTTAACCTCTCTGCTATATTTACTTTTTGATGGTGATAAGACTGATAACCCATTGATATATAATCAGTTTGAAAAAAGAGTGATGCTATATGCCAATGTGAATGTGCCACACCTTTTCTTCCAACCTTGACTTCATCCCATTTTTCATTCACACTAAATGTATTCATCTCTGTGTGGATGAAAAATGGGTCACGGGCAAAGTTGGAGTAAGGGTTTTGGGGAAACTTGGCCATTGATTTCTCACAGAAAATAAATATGACTAGATAATGAATGGTGGATACAAGCTGGCTGAACTGGTGTTGCTAGACTTGAGTTATGCCACAAATTCGTGTCTTAACCTATTTTTAGGTCCTTGTCAAATACACATGGCCACAATTGTTTTGGTATGTATAACTTTGGATTAGGTTCAATAATTATTTTGGAAACCTTTCGACCTGTAATACACCAAAATGTAATCATGTAGTTTTGGCATATTCTATCCTTCGTGTCTAGCCAATATAATGGACAACCTTCACTTTTGCTTCTTGAATGACCAATCTCTTTAGGAGTTAATATTAATTCATTACGGAGTAAAACTTAAATGTTACTACCTTCGTCCCATTTTATAACGCATGTTTCGGTTTACGATGTTTGACTGAAATTATTTTCAGTCAATAATATGGTTGTGTTACTGTTACTTCTTGTTTGTATAAGTTATTTGGTATATTTTAAAAAATATTTTTTTAATAGATTAAATAAAGAATAAATTCAACCTAGCTTCAAAGGTAAAGTGATGCATTGTTACGCTTACACCAATGTTTTGTTAACTTTTGCAACCACACTTTATTAACATAGCATCACATGATATTTTGTTCTCATTTAACTATTATTTGTGCTACTGTCTCTTATTTAGAGAGCGCACATGGAACGCACACTGAGAAGGAAAAAAAAGTTTGGAAATGTGTGTGCATTATTAGTGGATGTAGTTGTAATATGGGGTCACTTTAAGTCAAGTGATCCATATGCCTCTATTCAACGTGAAAGATAAACTCCATTTTTATTTTCTGTTGCTCCAAACATGAAAGCATTATTGAGACTAGGTTGTTTCTTTGAAATTCATTAGCTATACATGTCTCGACTTTGAGTATTGTGGTTAAGATTTTTTACCGTCAGTTTTTTTACTTTTTTTCTTAAAAAACAATATTTGTACTGCTGTGCAAATGGAGATGATTCAATTTCTAATTTTATATCCTCTCTTTTTTTTTACCCAAGAATAAAAAATTGACATATATGATGTTCTATTAGAAAAATATGAAAAAATGATTCTTTAAACAATTCATGTTTCTTTAATAGTTAAGTAACAATTTGATGTTCTTCATGTGTCATTTGACAACAATTACATAAAGGTCAAGTTGTGTGTATTGGACCTCTCTTTAGCCAGCAATAGGCGGGGGCTTTTGGAGCATGAGGTTGAATTAGCGCGTACGGTAGCGGACCAAGAGGGCTTTTCGGAACAAGAGGGAACCAATATGCATCAAGGTTTGCCAGCGTAAGAGATTGAAGAATTTGGAAAAATAACTCGAGACCGGTAGGGAGACGATCCATGAGATCGTTGGAAAAAGGTGCCATGATGAAGCTGACGTAGAGGAGGCCGACGAGGATCAGCCGGAAGAGGCGGCGATGTGGGGAGAGAGAGAGAGAGGATCAAGAGAAACCTTCATCGAATTTTTTTCTCAGTATCAACGATGAGGAGAGAGAGAGGGATCAGACTCTAATACCATGTTGAATATTGAATTATGGATTTTACTGTGTTTATATATATATATATATATATATATATATATATATATATATATATATATATATATATATATATATATATATATATATATATATATATATATATATATATATATATATATATATATATATATATATATATATATATATATATATATATATATATAGTAACCTAGTAGCAAATTCAAAGGGGTGGGACATATGTTTGTCAAAATTTGTCATTACTCACATTGTATCCCACTTAAAAAAATAGAGTACACAAATAAGAACCCCATTTTATATATGGCTGAAGTGGTAATAAACAGTATCAGTATTTGGTGTGCCTTGAGGGCCATCTGCCCATGTGCCCAATGATGCTTCGTCTTGTTGATAGAGCAATACACCCCCATTTTATTAATTTAAAATTGGTAAAATCTTCAACTGCGATCTTATTGTTTGTTTGTGGTGGACCGTGATTTTTATTGCTTTCATCTAAATGTATTTATAATTAATATTTACACACTTGTGTTGTGGTTTAATTTAAGGTCACTGAAATACCGATGGTGTACTATTTACACATTTGTGTTATGGTGTAATCCATTCAATTTCTCCATTTCTACGTCTGGTTTCAAATCAAACGAGTACGTGATGTTCCTCTACCAGACGTATGAGAGTAATCCGTCGTTGTTTAAAACGCAAACCTTGGTAATCTTAATGACTCAGTGTCGATTCAGGAAACTCAACCGGTACCAAATTCACCAAAAAAGTGCAATCCGGAAGAGTCACAAGCTGATGACCGAAGCGGCACGGTATATTAAAAAGTGGACAGCGGAGAAAGAATCGTTGTTGGCGTCTGCGACCTCTCGGAGCATTCTATTGTTGGTGTTTTTAATATATATTGTATATATATGTTCTGTTTTATATATTTGTGCTAAAATATTTTTCCATTCAATTATATATTTCTTAAAGGTTCTGAGCAGATGAAGAATGTGATGTGGGATCGTATCGAGGAGAAGTTCTTTACGGCGATTAACAATGACGCTTCCTACCAAACTCGAGACCACGTAACTTCCAAATGGGGCCACATCAACCAAAAAATTTGAAAGTTTATCAGAGTTTACGAGGAATGATTTCGATTCCGGAAGAGCGGGAGGAACGGTGTTGATGTTCTGTGGCAAGCCACCGCTCGGTATCAAGACAACGAACATCAAGGCAAGGTCCCCGCCGATCTTTTGAAAATTTTAAATCCTTCACTGAATTGACAACAACTCAACAATCCCGAGGCTGGATCGTCAAAGGAAAAAAATCAAATGATGTTGATGCCGATGACACTATCGACTTAATAGAACAAAGGTCTCCCTTCAATCTAGACGACTTCGACAAGAAGGACTCCATTTCATGGCCGATCGAAAGAAAGAAGGTAAAATTCATTACATCGAGTTCTATAGGATCCGACCCTGTTTCTTCTTACGATATTACCAGTCGGGCAATGGTTAAACAACTATGGTGTTCAATATTAGGGAAGATGAGATGGAGAAACAAAGACAAGAGAAGGAAGAACCGGAAATAATAGAATTTGACCTTGATACATTAAGGGACTTCAAACGCATCTTTTACGAGAGAAAACAAAATGAGATCAATGCTAAATATAATTTACCATTGTTTTTTATAAATGCATTTTTAAAATTTAATGCTATTTTTTATTGAATATATTTTTTATTTTATAAATTATTGTTATTTAAATTTAAATAATTAATGAATTCTTATTACTCTATTTTTACAAAATGAGTATTAAAAATTAAAAAGAAAAGGTTTGAGGTCTCACTGTGAAGCTCCAAACTTCACACTTATTTCTAGTGAAACAATAAGTATATTAAAAACAATTAAAACTGATGTGGCGGAGATAATGTTTAAAGCCCCATGCTTTATTGGTATTTCTAGTGTCCTAATGTCACTCACCCGATCTATTGCTAAATAAATTATCATATTATATCTTTTCCAAACAATTTTATTTTAAATTTTAAAATTCACATGATTTATTTCGAATTTTCAAACTCATATCTCATGGTACATTAAAAACACAAAATAAACTCTAAAATGCAGGAGCCACTCCGTATTTTTATTTTATTTTATTCTATTTTGGGGATTTTAAAGGATCCCAACGCTAAAGAATCCCGTGTTGTCCTTTTATTACGGGTAACTATATCTACTAATAACCTCCTCCCATCGCCTCCATGCCTCGCCGGGACGCTCTCCCGCGGTACTAGTCAGCGCCGCCCCTTCATCTTCTCTAGACGCAGGCATAAGCACTAAACCGAAACAAGGTAGAGCTTCTGAAACAATGGTTAAATCATCTCCTTCAATCAGGTACGTTGTCGCTTCCCGTACGAGTCTGATCTGTTTATTCCTATTTGCGGCGATAATGGGGTTTATGTGTATCGGTCCAATTTCGATTGATTGATGTGTTGATTCTGCCTCGTTTATCCCAATCCGTGTGATTCTAACGATTTGAATCGAATCCGCAGGCGAATTCGTACACACGCGTTTTGAATTGTTGACTTGTGTGATTCAGTTGTTGATCGGATCGACGGCGTTAATGGCATCCCCTCTCATGTCGAATCCGGGCATTAGCTCCGAAAGTAGAGCACCGGCGACGAGAAAGAAGAAGAGGGACCAAATTCCGGGGGCGCAATCTCTGGATGAAAGCAATAATCATAAATCCGCCGTGGAATGGAAATCCGAAGCTCAACAACGGGCGTACTCCTCCAAGCTTCTCCGAGCGCTCCGACAGGTCCGGTCGAATCCATCGCCGGGTCCCAAGGGCGGCAGAGCCGTGCACGAGGTTGCGGACAGAGTTTTGGCCGTAGCGGCCAAAGGACGCACGAGGTGGAGCCGCGCCATCCTCACGAGCCGGCTGAGGCTGAAGTTCACGAAGAAACACGGAAAAAGGCAGCGTGTGGTTTCACCCGCGGCGGCCACCGGGCACAGCCGGCTCCCGAAGAATTCCAGGCTAAACATTCTCCGCCTGAAAACAAAAAACCTGCCCGCTGTACAGAGAAAGGCCCGAGTTCTAGGGCGGTTGGTTCCGGGATGCCGGAAGGAGGAGCTGCCGGTGATTCTAGAGGAAGCCACTGATTATATTGCTGCTCTAGAGATGCAAGTTCGTGCCATGAGCGCTTTAGCTCACCTCCTATCCGCCTCGGGCGATGCCTCGTCCTCATCGGGAAACCTTCTCATTCCTCTCAGCTCCGGCCGGCCGCCACAAACCTGAATATCAAGTCGATTTGTCACCTCAAAGAAACAGAACCGAAAAATCAAAGCCCCCCTCTATAATCATGCTCTTATTATCTCTCACTCCGAATGTGGTATGAATATTCTATTTTCTCTGTATGATATGTCTCATTCTTTTTCTTTTCTTCTTCTGGATTTGGGATTTGAATGCAATAGAAAACGACCTGTGGAGAAATCATCTTCCTCACTCACTGGTTTTTGTTTAAAACCAAACCAAAAACCCAGTCACATTTAGAGTTTGTTAATCACATATAGGTCGCAATCATTTACTTATGTGGTCTTTTATGAATGTTCCAATTTCGCAGCTCTGCAATTTTCCTGCTTGCTTTTGGTGATTTTGATAAAAACTGATGGAAAAAAGTATAATTTTGATTGGTGTCATTTATTTGGGAAGTGTTTAGTGTGTGGAGAAGATTAGCTTCTTCAGTGGGGAGGGAGATTACTTTGACACCATTTGTCAAAAGTGGTGTGTGCTATCACTTAAGGGGTGGCTTGGCTTCAATCATGACCTTCCACGAGCCATATGGGCCTTTGTCTCTCAGGCCGTGGACCATTTGCTTCTTTTTGCCCCAATAATATTCCTTGTGGTTCGGAATCTCATCTCTCACCACAGATAAAAAATGGGACCGTGCTACATACCCTCCACCCTTGCTACCAACCTTGCCTTCACCCACTTCTCCATCACATATTTATCTCTACTCATTCTCCACCCATCATCTAATTTTAATTTTCTTGCCTCCCTACCACATGTTTATGTAGGGGGCATGATTGGTAACAAGGGTGAAGGGTTTTTAACATTTTCCTAAAAGATGAGTGTTTGAAATATTGGAATTAGATGGGAAATAAAAATAAAAATAATGGTTGGTATGAATGAATGTTGGAAGTGAATTGAAGGAGGGTGCTCTGAAAATCGTGTTTGCTTTTGGTGTGGCCTGCGGAGTTTAGGGGGACACACCCTCTGGCTGGCAAGAGAGGTCCCTCCATGTGACAACCCCAACCTGCTTTGGCCTAACCAATTACTCCCTCCCTCCATTCCTTTTTTTTCCACTTCCTTTTTTGAATTCCTCAAAAATTTCTTTCCCATTTTTCTGTTTTGGTAAATTTTTTTTTAACTAATGTACCGTTGCATTCCAACTTTTCATCTACATTTTAATTTGTCTTAATTCCCTTGCTAAGTCAATACGAGAAAAAAAAATATTGGATGGAGGAAGTACCAATACATAATAGGGAGTTAATTTGTCTTAATTTCCTTGCTAAGTCAATACGAGAAAAAAAATTTATTGGATGGAGGAAGTACCAATACATAATAGGGAGTAAATAGATAAAGAGTAATTTTATAAATAGCTCTTTATAATAGAGCTTTTCAAAATTAGTATTTCATTATCAAATAGTATATTTGTGATCTTTTTTTATGCGTACTAGTTGGTGTTAGATTGAAGACCGAAAGTAAAATTTCACAACGATTATATATCCTTCTTATCATAGCCAACACCAAGTATCGTTGCGGATGTGTTGTTTGTCAAATGGGGACTATTGTCCAATGCATTTGTAGTCTACAGATGTGGCTTATTGTCCGAATCGTAGCCCACAATCATATTTATTATTGTTGTGTTATTTGTCAAGATGACATCAGAACACATAACTAGGCATATGATAGATGTGAAATCATATTGTTAGCTTTCAACTTAACAGCGACATGACAAATGGTTAAAAAGACTATTCGTGAAAAGGTGACCATAAAAGAGGATTACAAACGTAATACAAAGTATTTGATAGTATAAGACTAAATATGAAAAACTCTCTATTATTAAGGATCTAATATAGTATTTACTCATGAATAAATAAACAAAATTGTGAAAATAATTGTCATTTTTAAATCTAGTTTTTTACTAGTCCCATAGTGTATAAATCAACAATAATGTTGTAAAAATCTAGCAAAGTGTAATTTGGGAAAAGTATGTCCGCAGATTCTAACCATATTCTAAAAGAGAGGTTATTACTAAGGTTGTGTTCTATTTGTCTGATTTGATCTGATTTTACTTTAATTATAATTCTAACAAGATCAGATTAGACTAAATCAGATCAAATCAAATCAGATCTGATCTAGTTTGTAATAGCTTTTTGTGTGTATCGGGCATGAGATGACCTCTTTAAAGATCAGATTGAGATTATACCATAATTTACCTCCCTCACAATCGTCTCGGGCCGGTTAGTAAGAGAGCTCGTGGTGGGCGTTGCACTTTTTTTTTGAATTGCGGGAATATAATTCAATGGTGACTACCAAACCACTTTCTTGGTGGTGCAAATTAAACAATGGTCACTACCAAAATGTTTACTACTCCCTCAGTTCCCAAAAAGACTTTCCATTTTTATTTGGAGGCAAAAATAAGAAAGTGTTAAATTATAGTTGATTTCCAATTTTGCCCCTGATGTGATGGGTAAAAGTAAGATGTGATGGATAGATTATTAGAGAAAAAGTATGATGTGATAGGTAGGGTATGAAAAGGTAAGGGTAAAAGTGGTTTTTTAATAGAAAGGAGAAGTGTTTTGTTGGAAGTGAAAAAATGAAAGAGGAAGTGTTTTTTGAGAACGGAGAGAATACATTTTCGCATTGCAGGGAGTTTAACCTGGTTAGGATTGAAATATATTATCAAATTGCACCAACTCATTAAGTGGATGAATTATGCTCCACCAATTATGCTAAGACTCCGTTTGGTGTACAAAATTCTAATTTTTTAGTTCGGTAACAAAAAAATGTGTAGACATCGGATTGTTAATACAAAAAATGAATTAAAATTGGAGATTTCAAATCTATCCAAATTAATTTCATAGAACTTTACTAGTGAAAAAAAACATATATGATAGCTCTCAATGAATTTCTAAAGTATAAAGTAATTAGAGTTGCACAAATCATTCTCCCTTTGTTTTAGGATATGGATTAGAACTTTCGTGTTCTACGTTTCTAATGCAATAAGACAAATGGAAAAAATTTCTTGGACAAGCTAGAATACACAATGAGTTTAACATTTCTCTTTTAAAAAAATTATGAAAAATAGTTTTATACCGTAGTATCGTTTAAAAATATTATAAACACTTAACTCCATTCTCATCATCTTATTTTTTCATTTATTATGCATTATTATTATTGGAATTAAATCCGATTAGACTTGGGATCAAACCTTAATAAATCCAGATATCGCCATTTTTTTTAATTATTAACAACATTTTCTTTTTGTTTTCATGATCTAAATATGAGTAAATTTAATTTAAAAGGGAGGCATAATATCAAAGTAAATTCTAGTGTATTAGTAGAAGATGAGGTGAAGAGGGAGGAGTAGAGTACAGATGGACAAAATGCGTACAATGGGCCAGACAAAAGAATAACTAAGCCTGATTATATACACTTGGGCCCACCCACATGGCTCCCATTCACTATATGGCCTTGAGGTGGAACCCGCCTTCCTCTATTGTCTTACACTTCCTAATCTTTTTTCTTTCTTTTCTGTGTTACTACCTCCGTCCCTAAATATTTGTCTAGTTTGATTTTTTTGGTTAACTGTTTTCAACCTTTGACCTCTAATTAAATAAAATATATATTATTTTTTAATTAGATAAAATAATATTTTGAAAATATTTGGTATAATAGATCAAATAAAACTATTTTTGTATAAATATCTAATATTATTTTTATTTAATTTAAGGTCAAAGTTTACCAATTTTGATCGAAAAAAGTCAAAAGTGGACAAATACTCAGGGACGGAGGGAGTAATAAATTCCCAGTAATTGGGTTTGGTCCATTCACTTTATTCATCAAAACAAAACTTGTCAAACCATATTGATTATTGATTGAGCTCTATATTTATAAACAACCAAGTCATAACATACACAAACTTCATTTCTTATTTATTAATCTAAAATTAGACTTAATTTGTAAAATTATAGGTTAAATTGAGCTAGCCGACCAATTTTTTGTGCCTTTTTTTACTCCCAAAATAGTTAAAAAATGTGTGGATTCCTCAAAATTTTTAAATTTGCAGTAATGACCTCTTAACATTTAAAATATTACATCAATAGTCTCCCTGTATTAGATTTGATTTTTGAGGGTACGTTGATCACATGCTCATCAATATACTTTTTGAAACATGATGAAGATGGCATGAACTGATGAAGACGTTGATGAAGAGCTCAACCGACTCATCCCCGGGCTTCGACTTTGGTTACCAAAGGCTAAAGCGAGAAGAAATCTCTATGGTTTCAAGAGGTTAAAAAAATACTCCTTCCGTTTCACAGATATTTTCTCATTTCTTTTTTCATCCGTTTCAAAAAAGATTTTTAATTTTTATTAAAAAGTCAGTTTTACTCTTACTAATTCTCAATGTATGTATCAAATCACACTTTTTTCATAATAAATCCATTCATCACATTCTACTTTTACATGTCACATCCAAGAACATTTTTTGAAGATCAACACAAAAATATACTTCCCTTAAATCCTTTAAAAGTCAAAATCAGAAAGCTTTTGTGGAACTGAGGAAGTAGAAGATAATGATTGGAAAGAATATATGTTGCAAAACTCACGTGAAATATATGACTTTATATAAATCTATATTTGCACTGGATGCGCGTGTGATTAACGCACTCTCAAATCTTAAGCAAAGAAATCATTGATTCAACATTTTTAAATTCAAAGACCATTAGTGTAATTTTTAAATTTCAAAAGAAATTCATGCAGTTTTTAAGTAGTTCGAGTGTAGAAGGCATAAAAACTCTCCATTATAAGGAGTATATTTTGATGGGGCCAGTGTTCAAAAACCATAATCTCTCCGGGGTATATTTTATTATTTTTTACGGGGTAAAACATATGGAGTAGTTAGTATTAGTGTATGTAAACCTAAACAGTTCTCCCATAGGCTCGATCAATAAGTGTATTATTATTAAACAAAAACCAAATCTTGATCCACTTTTAATTGCCATACCACCAAATCAAATGGCTGAATTAAGGCAATAGCAGCCCATGTGCTCCCAATCACTTTAACTTTTTTAATTGTTATATATATAATCCCTCCATTATATTATTTAATCTTCAAATAATGTGCAAAATCTATTTTTTAAAAAAAATTATTGTAAATAAAAGTTAATGGCGCTGTTTGGAAAATTGGCGGTTGGCTATTAGTTTTTTGTGTTGGCTAGTTTGATTGGTTGGTGGAGTTAGTTTTTTTGACCGGTCGATAGCATTAATTGTTTGCGAAAAAATGTTTGGCAACTTAGCTGCTTTTAAATAGTTGT